CAAAAGACTAAAGAACAACTAGTTGAAATTGGAGTAGGACAAGGGCTCCTGGAGGAAAGCCTCTGGGGAAAAATAAAAGCAATAACAAATATAACAGAAATCAAAATGTAATATATACCCAGTATCAAGCAATCAGTGGATTAAAAGAAAACAAAATCTATAGGTTTTAGGAGGCATATTCTCTTTTGAATAGCCCAGGGTTACTAGGGAATGAAGCACAATTCTGGCACAGTGCTTGGCTTGACTATGCATAACAGTTATGTAGCTATAATAGTAAGTGTTGTTTGATGGTTTTCAACTTTAAGAGTCCACCTAAGGAAAACTGTGATGAGTCTGGTTGTAGCAATGTAAAAGTGTAATCAACGGAAGGTGGGCAGCAGAGAACTGGAGGGAAAGGATAGGAAGTGAGCAGTGACAAGATACCATACAAAGCTGGTTAAACAAGAAGTTTTGGCTTTGATGTGCTAAATGAAATTCCAAAAGTAACCAGTAGGAAAAACAGTTTAAAAAGTTTACCTTTGGGGAGGGGACTAAGGTCAAGGATTTTCTTCCTACGCTCTCCTGTATTATTTGATTATCATGTACAAGATTACTTTGAAAAAAAATTAGTAGGTGACATATTACACATTGTAAGTCTTATAAAAATTAAATTTTGAAGTAAATACTCAGATATGCCAAATTTTTATAAAGTTATAACCTGCTTATAGTCTATCAGTGTCAACATTTATAAATAACAAGCAGTTTTCACATGACCACTAGGTGCTTCTGTATTTATTTATTTTTGAGACAGAGTCTTGCTCTGTCACCCAGGCTGGAGTGCAATGGTACGATCTCAGTATACTACAGCCTCTGCCTCCCAGGTTCAAGTAATTCTCCTGCCTCAGCTTCCCAAGGTGTTAGGATCACAGGTGCCCATCACCATGTCTGGCTAATTTTTGTATTTTTAGTTGAGACAGGGTTTCTCCATGTTTGCCAGGCTGGTCTCCGAATTCTGACCTCAGATAATCTACCCATCTTGACGTCCCAAAGTGCAGGGATTATAGACGTGAGCCACCGCGCCCAGCCCAACTTCTATACTTTTTGATGGAGTAATCATGTGAAAATCATGACCAACTGGACCTTAGGGAAACACACTTGTCCTATGGGAGAGCTGTTAAGGCTTGAATCAAATGCACACAAGTCCCCTGGTAGCAGAGGGAGGGAGTATTAGCACTGAGGGAGTCAGAAAAGCTCATGGCTGGAGGGGAACTCACTGTCCAAAACCCTTCCTGGAACAAGACCAACTGCAGAAAAACAGGAAAGAAAAACAGGAAGGAGAAAAACACAAAAAGAGAAAGGAATCGAGGAAAGAAGAAAAACTGAAGAAAAAGAGGGAGGAGGAGGAATGAAGGGATGAAGGGAAAATGGGAAAGGAAGAATGGAGAGCCATCTGAGTGCAGGACTATGCTGAAAAGGTTCCACGGTGAGTCAGACAGGAACATAAATTACCACAATTCAAGGCCGAAAAGGACAACTGGACTTTCCTGCTTTATTTCCCAAGGTTGCAGTCCTAATAGACACTGCCTAGGTCTAAGCCTTCTGGGAGTTGCCAGTGGACTGAGGTATCTTTAGTTCTTTCTTGGATGATGATGGTGGTGGTGGTGGTGGTGGTGGTGATGGTGATGATGATGATGATGATGATGATGATGATGATGGTGTTGGAAGAAAGGAAAGGGTTGATAAGAAAGGATAAAGGAGGAAGGAAGAGAAAAAGGAAGAGACAACAGTGATTGGCAGTTTATAAAGTACATCTACATTCATTTATTCACCAAAATTAAAGTATGTTTTAGGAAATGCAGCAGTGAACAAACAAACATGCTCTTACTTTCATGGTGCTTACCTTCTATAGGAGGAGAGAGATTGTAAAGAAATCTTAGTAAGTCAGATGATGATAAAACCCGTGAAAAAGCATGAATGAGGATGAAGGTAGGGAATATTTGGAGGGGATGTCTCAGCAGGCCTGTCTGATAAGCTGGCACAGAGTAGAGACAGGAATGAGGTGAGGGGGCACACTCTGCAGGTATCTAGGGGAGGAAGGTCCCAAGGCAGAAGGAAGTACATGGGTAAAGACCCTGAGTCAGGAACACCATGGGATACCTGAGAACAGCAAGGTGACCCATGGGGAGCAGAAGGAGCCTGGGGAGGAATGGGAGAAGAAACAGTGAGAGAGGACAGGGGTGGAAGGCTAGGTCCCAGCCTTAAGGGAAGGTAAAGAGTGGAATTTTTTTTTTTTCTGTGTGGGATGGGAAAGCAATGTAGGGACTGAGTAGACGTGGCTCCCCAGACCCTCACATGGAGTGTCTGGTAGGCTGTATTGCTCTGATGCCATGAGGGAGAGCATGGCAGAGAGCACCAAACCCTTCAAGCATCTTCTACTGTACTAGAATCAAGTTTGGTAACTGCATGGGATATTTGCATTTTCTTATGTGAGAGCAACTCACTTTGGTAATTTGAAATAAATACCTGCTAGAGCCGTTATGTGAGGAGAAAGGGAGGAGGCAAGGTGGGCCCTGGAAGAAATGAACATGAAGGCCTCCCAAAGGCCCCAGAACCCCTGGCTAGACAAACCACAAAGGGGGAAAGGATGACTGTGGACAAACGATGCCTCCCATAAAGTCAGTATATGCATGTATGTACTCACTGAATAAGCAGAAGCAATTCATCTTTCTCAGCTTTCAGGTCATATTAGTTTCTATAGAATAACAACTCATTTACAGTCACTACTGTTTCATCAAATCCTCAAACTACCATCTGCTTGGAAAACATGTAGACTTAGGGTCAGGAAGATGATGCAAATTTCCCAAAACCTTCCCTCTCCAGCCCTAGTACTATGTAGCTATGCACAATTAGAACCAGCTGTCAACGCAGAGCAGCAGACAACTGCAACCCTGTGAACCGTCTCCCATCCACGTGACAGAGAAAGAACCCGATTAGCAGGCTGAGAGCAGCTGCCAGCAGCTCTGCTCACAAGATTAACAAGCCGGTGCTAGGCCCACAGGGCCACATATTCATTCCACTCTTACACTGGGAACTATGTTCAATTCTCTTTCTCCATATTCTTGGGAAATGATTTTTTCCAAATACATCATTAGATTAAAAACAAACAAACGAACAAACAAAAAACACTGCTTTTTTAATTAGGGACCTAATACATGTTCATTATAGAAAACCTGGACAATACAGAAAGCCCAATGAAGAACTTTTTTTTTAATGTGAATTTTTTTTTTTTCTTTTTTTTTGAGACAAAGTCTCTCTCTGTTGCCCAGGCTGGAGTGCAGTGGTGTGATCTCAGTTCACTGCAACCTCCACCTCCAGCGTTCAAGCGATTCTTCTGCCTCAGCTTCTCGAGTAGCTGGGATTACAGGTGCCCACCACCATGTCCAGCTAATTTTTGTATTTTTAGTAGAGACAGGGTTTCACTATGTTGGCTAGGCTGGTCTTGAACTCTTGACCTCAAGTGATCCACCCGCCTCAGACTCCCAAAGTGCTAGGATTACAAGTATGAGCCACCACACCCAGCCAATAGGGTCTTATATTGCTTAGGCTGGCCTTTAACTCCTGGGCTTAAGCAATCCTCCTGCCTAAGCCTCTGAGTAGCGGGAACTACAGGCAGATGCCACTAGACCTAGCCTCCAGTGAAGAAAATTTAAATCATCTATTAGCCTTAACACTCAGAGAAAACTAAAGTTTACATTTTGGTTGATAATAATGATAACAAAAACAATAACATTTACTGAGGACTTTTGTGTCAGGCACAATGTCAATCATTTTACATACATTTATCCATTGCTCCCTGAATTCTCACCACACTCCTATGAGATAGGTACTATTATTGCCCCATTTTACAGATGAAGAAATAGAGGCATAGCTGGAGATATTCAGCAATTTGCTCAAATACTCATATGTGTTCAATGTGAGAGCCAGGATTAAACCCAGGCCTGTGGCCTCTGGAGCCTGGACCCTCAGCCACAGAGCACATCCATGTCCAGGACAGTGGCTAGGCCCACAGTCACAGGTGCAGGGGCACACACAGGCACACACAGCTGCTCTCAATTGAGCTCGTACTATAGCTGTGGTTTCATAATCTGCTTTTGTCCTTATTACAAACATTTTCTCACATCTGCCCACACTTCCTTTTTAGAATTCCTGTGACACAAATACATGACATCTCCCAGAAACAATTCATCACATTCATCTTCCTTTGTTTTTGTTGAGTTTCTGAAGAAAATTTTAGCTTGTCCCTTAATTTATTACTTTGGTTTTCTGCAATCTCTAACTTGTTGCTCACTTTTCTCACTGCAATTCATGTTTCTCAGCACAATTCAATCTTTCCTGGTGTTGATCCTCATGTGCTGCAGAGTCATCCTGACCACTTCTGGGAATACAAAATGAAATTTCTGGAAGTACATGCTGCATAGGAAGGTTCAGGCTCTGACTTTGTCTTTGCACTGCCTTCTATTTTTGACTGAAACTTTTCTATATCTGATGAGTATGCTAAAAACCCTGTAAGAAACAAAAAAAGTTAACCCAAAGGTTCCAGGGCCACAAGGTTTTCCCAGTGAGTTCTCTCAGGCTTTTAAAGAATACATAACTCTTATGGCAAATAATTTATACCGGGGCACAAAAAGTGATGGGGGAAAAAATCCCCAAACTTAACAGGTTTGGCTAAAAAATATAGGAATCAGCTAATGTTAACAATCGAAGAAGTAGCCGGGCGCGGTGGCTCACGCCTGTAATCTCAGCACTCTGGGAGACTGAGGCAGGCCGATCACAAGGTCAGGAGTTTGAGACCAGCGTGGCCAATATGGTGAAACCCCATCTGTACTAAAACTACAAATATTAGCCAGGTGGTGGCAGGTGCCTGTAGTCCCAGCTACTCAGGAGGCTGAGGCAGGAGAATCGCTTGAGCCCGGGAGGTTGCAGTGAGCTGAGACTGCACCACTGCACTCCATCCTGGGTGNTTTTTAATTCATTCATCTTCATCATCCTCATCTTCCTCTCCATCAGACAGGGATGTACAGGGCCGGATCTGTCGGTAGCGGTCAAGCCATTTTTCTACCATCTGAGTAACCAGGGGATGATTTCGCCGCCGAGAGCTCTTTTGCATGGCAACCAGAACTCCCCCCTCTGTCACACAGCAGTCCAGCCACTCCCTGAGCAGTTTTTCTTGCTGTTCCTCGTTACCTAGCTTTTGGAGGAATATGAACACAAAAGGAAAATCATACAACAGATCAGAGACTTGGTAGGAATGTCACATGGTATGCTAACTAATAATGAAAAGGCCAAAGCAATCAAGTTTTCACACAGTTTCTGACTCTTAGAAATTTTATGATTAAAGTCCAGTTTGCTCTGGTTACATTTAAAACGACATCAATGGGAAAATTTTCAGAAAATACTAAAGAGCACACTAGAGGGTAATTTATTTGATAAAATAACAAAAAGCAAATGTCCTAGTAAACTGATCCTGGCAAGCTACAGCTTCAAACACATGACAAGGTAAGTTTACTCAGTCAATTATGTACAGGGTGAAATTATACAAGTTATGGTCTATGAACTTTTTTTCTTTATGTTGTGATTATAAACGTTTTATAATAATTACTAGTATATGAAATAAAAGACCAATACTTTTATAAGAATGCTGGCTTTCTGAAAGAGCGTTGTTTTGTACATTCTCACCACCTCCCATCTGGTCTACACCCTTTCACTCCCCTGCATGTACAATAGCTTTACCTGGTATTCCTGCTCCTGCCACTGCACGAAAGCCCCAAGTTCCTTTTCTGGGTAAACTGACCATTGGCTTGCCACATTATCCAGAGTAAAACCCAAAGCTTTAAAAGGCCTTCGATGAACTCCACCCCAACCTTATCATCTCTGACCTCTTCTTCCTCCATCCCCTGGCCCCTACACTCTTTCCCTGTTGCTTGACCCTTTTAAACTGGACTTGCAATTCTTAGAACTCTGCTTTGAGATAAAAACTCACTTCTCATTCCCTCATCTTTACTTTTTCTTAACACCCATCACCACCTGAGGGAGTTCCTTGATGTCTCCCCATACAGCAGTTTTGAAAAGGTAAAAAGTACAGCTGAAATCTTCAGAAATTTCTACAATAACATTCAGAAATTAAGTGGTAGTGCAGGTAAAACCACACCTGAAAGACACTTCAGGCTGTTTCTGGTACAAGGTACTAGAAACATGCTGCTTACCTCCTGAGCAGAAAGAAAGTGCACATGGAGTAGCTTCCTTTCACTGTCAACCAGAGGCAAAAATGTGATGGTGACATCATCATCAGTATTCAGATTAGCACCAGCACCTCGGTTGCCATAACCATCATTTTCCATGGCAACCAAAGCAGAGAAGTGGCCCCTTGTATACCCCAGAGCAATCGGACTTTTCCAACAAAAACTCTGTTCCCACAACAAAGGCAGATAAACACCTAGAAAAAGAGGGAAGAAAATCCCAACAGTCACAGGAAGAAAGAGCTGCTCCCTCCCTCACTGCCCTTGTTTACATTCCCGTCTACTGCTCCTTCCTGGCATCTGAGCCACTCTGATCCTGCTCACCAGTTAATACTTACCATGTGGCTGCCAACATTAGAAGACTTGTAAAATGCTCCTGAATAATGGCTTACCTTGAAACCGAGTATATCCTAAAGTTTCTCCCCGGAAACTCTTGTAGTATTTTACTCCATAAACTATAATTGGTCGTCTAAGAATATGTGCCAGTACAAAAATGTGTGTCTGCTCCAAGCTTGCTCCAGGCTACACAAAACAAAACAAAAATTTAAAACATTTATTACCACTCCTGGAAAACTGATGTGTAAAAAACAGTACTACCTCCCCTTCAATACACTATCACAGTTTATTTTTAAAAAAAAAAAAAGTCAAAGCAGCATATTGATAATTCAAAGATAAAAAGTGATATGATCCTCTCAAAAAATACTGAAATGGTAATTAGCAAAAAAATTTTGAGATTTTTTAAAAAAGAGAAAAAGAACTTAGAAGCTTAGTAATATCTGTCTCAAACTAACAGCCCTCATTATACAACTGAGAGAAACACTACAGGAATTTGAATTAAAATTAGAAACAACAAAACCCCATGACACACACTTACCTATGTAACAAACCTGCACATCCTGCACAGTACCCTTGAACTCAAAAGTTAAAAATTAAAAAAAAAGAAATAATAGCCTCAATCTGGAAACCCAAATGTCAAATGGCAGAATAGACAGACAAGGTGTGGTACATTTATACAATAGAATATTAGTAAGCAATAAAAAAACAATGAACAGCGAATGCATCCAACAACAGAAAAAAAAAAGAGTCTAACAACAGGGGCTACAGCCCGTTTCATCTAGGTTTCTTATCTAAGCCACAGAGCACAGAAAATGATGTTAGTGACTCTTTTTCAACTCTCCTGAGATGGTACATTCATTACATACAATGGCCCTTCAGGCACTTGGCTTAATTATCTCATGGAATCCTGGTTGAGAAAGGCCTACGAAGCCATAACCCAGTGATGTCCAACAGAAATATAATCCATATATTTTAAATTCTTGAATATCATGTTTTAAAAAAGGAGAAACAGGTAAAATTAATTTTGACAATTTATTTTATTTAGCTCAATATAGTCACGTACTGCAGAACGACATTTTGGTCAACAACGGACCACATATATAATAGTGTTCCCATAAGATTATAATGGAGCTAAAAATTCCTATCACCTAGTGATGTTGTAGTCATAGAAAAGTTGTAGCACAACCTATTACTCAAGGGTTTGTGGTAATGCTGGTGTAAACACATCTACTGTGCTACCAGTCATATAAAGGTACAGCACATACAGTTATATACAGTACATAATACTTGATAATAAATGACTGTTACTCATTTATGTATTTGGTATACTTTTCATTGTTATTATTATTTTTTTAAACCGAGTCTTGCTGTCACCCAAGCTGAAGTGCAGCAGCACGAACTCAGCTCACTGCAACCTCTGCCTCCAGGTTCAAGCAATTCTTGTGCCTCAGCCTCCTGAGTAGCTGGAACTACAGGCACACACTACCACACTCAGCTAATTTTTGCATTTTTAGTGGAGACAGGGTTTCACTGTGTTCACCAGGCTGGTAACTCCTAACCTCAAGTGATCCGCCCACTTCAGCCTCCCAAAGTGCTGGGATTACAGGTGTGAGCCACTGCACCCAGCCCATTGTTATTTTAGAATATACTCCTTCTACTTATTTTTTTTTTAAGTTAACTGTAAAATAGCCTCAGGCAGGTCCTTCCAGATGAAGGCATTATTGTTTTGTTTTGTTTTGTTTTGAGTTGGAGTCTCGCTATCACTCAGGCTAGGGTGCAGTGGCACAATCTCTGCTGACTGCAAGCTCTGCCTCCTAGGTTCAAATTATCCCAAAAGTGTCAATTCTCCTGCCTCAGCCTCTGGAGTAACTGGGATTACAGATGCACCAACATGCCCAGCTAATTTTTTGTATTTTTAGTAGAGACGAGGTTTCGCCATGTTGGTCAGGCTGGTCTCAAGATCCTGACCTCAGATGATCCACCTGCCTTGGCCTTCCAAAGTGCTGGGATTACAGGTGTGAGCCACAATGGTCAGCCAGAAGAAGGCATTGTTATAGGAGAGGACAGCTCCATGTGTATTACCATCCCTGAAAACCTTCCAGTGGAACAAGTTGTGGAGGCGGAAGACAGTGATATTTATGATTCTTACCCTGAGTAGGCCTAAACAAATGTGTGTCTGTGTCTTAGTCCTTAACAAAAAATAGAAAAAATAATAAATTTTAAAACACAAAAAATCTTACAGAATAAGGAAATTAAAAAAGAAAATAATTTTGTACAGCTGAATAATGTGTGTTTTAAGCTAAGGGTTATAATAAAAGAGTCAAAAAGTTTTTTTTTTTTTTTAAGTTACAGTAAGCTAAGTTTAATTTATTATTGAAGAAAATTTTTTATAGATTTAATATATCCTAAGTATACAGCATTTATAAAGTCTGCAGCAGTGTACTACAGTAATGTCCTAGGCCTTTACATTCACTCACCACTGACTCACTCAGAACAACTTCTGGTGTTGGAAGCTCCATCCACGGTAAGTGTATACTTTTTATCTTTTATATTTTTATTGTGCCTTTTCTATGTTTAACTATGTTTAGCTACAGAGATACTTACTACTATATTACAATTACCTACATCACTTGGTGTACTACCATGTTGTACAGGTTTGTAGCCTAGAAGCAAGAGGCTATGCCATATCACCTAAATGTAGTAGGCTATGCCATTTAGGTTTATGTAAGTACACAATATGGTGTTCACACGAGGACAAAATCACCTAATGATGCATTTCTCAGGATGTATCCCATCTTTAAGTGATATATGACTGTATATCCAAGATATTATCTTTTCAAAATATAATAGAAAATATAACAAATTATTAAGGAGATATTTTCCTTTTTTGTAGTAAGTCTTTGAAATCTGGTCTTTTTTTTAATATTTACAGAACATCTTAATTTGAAGTAATGACATTTCAAATGCTCAATAGCCACATGCAGCCACCATGTTAGACAACACAGCTCTGACATAAAAAGATATGACATTGAAATATAAGATATACTCATTTAAAAGTAGGGATCAAGGTAGGAGAACCAAAGACAAACCATGAAGCCCCAACAGTAAGGGCTGGAGTAAGGCTGGAGCCAAGGCAGGCAGCTAAGAACCAGAGGGCAAGGTCAGCCCAGGACAAGCAGGAAGGCTGAACAGATGAGAAGACTGCATATGACTGACCTAGGTTGTTTATATCTCCATTGCTTGAAGTCTGTCCCCACCTCCAGGCCTCACTCCTGCAAAAGGAGGTAGGGCTTGTCATTAATAAGTTAAGTAGATCCAGCTGCAACTGCTAGAGGACCTCGGGTTCCAGATAGAATGAAATAAACACAAAATAAGACCTACAAGGACACACGCAGCTCACATTGGCAATTTTATATTTTTATAGGGACTTCCTAAGTCAGGAGTCATGGGTTCTAATCTGAGCTGTGTCCTAAACCCCCTCTGTGACTTAAAGTCAACCCTTCCCACTGCAGGAGTTCAGATTCCTCTCTGTAAAATACAGCAGCACTGGGTGGTCTTTAAGATCCTCCCAGTTCTTCCATTCTGTGAGCCTAAGAGAAGCAGAGGTCATATATCTGGAATTACATAAAAACGTTATCAAGTAAGACTTGCCCCTGGAGACCAAGCAACTGCAGGACTTTTCTTTCTTTAAGTGTTCTGAGGGCATAAGGAGAGGTTGAGTCCAAGAGATATAGTCAAGAAGGGGAGGCGGGGGGGGTTCTAGGCAGTGCACTGTTGTACAGGGATGATCTGAACAAGACAATCTAGTGTGGCAGGAGGCAGGAAACAGTGGGGTGGCAGAGAAGGAAGGAGGCTAGGGACAGATGGGAATAGATGAACAGAAAAAAATGCAAATGGAAAATTCAGGTTCCAAAAAAAGAGACAGAGAGAAGAAGGAAGGGAAAAGGAGAAGAGAAGAAAGGGAAGGAAGAAAGAAAGAAAAGAAAAAAGAAAGAGAAGGAAGAGAAAGGCATTCAAGGTAAGAAGGGTTAAATCCCAGGTGGGGTCAGGTACATCTTTTGAAGGTGGTAACATGGTGTGAGAAGTGCTTCCAAGTGGAGCAGGGCAGGGAGGCAGGGATGTGATGTCCAGGGCAGGAGAATAACTTGGGAGAAGAGGGGAACAAATGGGTATCATACATGAAGTGTCCCACATGTTTTCCATGTTCCCAAGAAAAAGCTGTCTCTGAACGTTTGCAGGTCAGAAGCAGACACAACCAAATGGTCAGATACCAAGGAGGTAACCTAGGCCACTTTACACCTGGGACCCATCTGGAGAGGCTGAGACCCAAACTGTGTAGCCCCAAATCTCACCAGGCAGGATGAGAATATAGCAGGAACACACTGAGATAACCAACCTCCAAGTCCCCCAGTTCCTCCTCACTTTGAGAGGTGAATAGGGTCCTTTAAGATCTGTTTCCAGTACTGTTCCTAGGCTGAGAATAATAATAATAAACATTAATAATAGCAGCTAACAGTTTGCTTACTGTATTTCAGCCACTAGGCAAAATACTTTTCTTACATTATGCTCCTTAATTTTTTAACAATGGCACCCTGAGGAAGGGCTGTTATTGCCCCCAGTTTACACATAACTGAAATTGAGATTCGGAAAGGATAATTAACTTGCCCAAAGTCATGTAACAAATAAATGACAAAGTGGAATTCATATCCAGGTCTCACTCCCAAGCCCAGGCTCTTCACCACAGCGCTGTCAGCCTGGGAAGGCACGGTTACCATAATTTTCTACCAATATTTTGAATAATATTGACTATATAGAAGTGAATGGCACCACAGGGGTTAAAAAAAGGAACAAAAAGGGAAGAAAGAGGACTATACATTACTGCATCTTTTCTACATTCTAGGTACTATATAACAGGCTTAAATCTACTTTATTTTACTTAAGTCTGAAAACCAGACCATAAAGTAGGTTTTACTATTTCATTTGATGAATGAGAAGACCGTGGCTCACAGAGATTAAATGATTGTGCAAGTTCATCCAGGTAGTAAATGGCAGACTCCAGAGCCTGACCTCTTAATAAGCAAAGGTCCAGGTATGAAGTAAGATAACCACACAGGAGACCAGGTAGTGGACAGACATCACTTAGAAAAGGCTGATGAGGCAGGGGATGGGGGCTGTAAAAAATGTTGTGCTTAGAGGTTGCAACAGAC